CCCCCAAAACCCCAAAACCCCGCATAGCAAATATAATGACAAAATGATAAAAATAAATATTTTAATTGAAATAAATAGATATGTCATCATCTTAAATAGAAGATAAATTAGACTAGTTTAAAAAGCAAATTAAGCAAAACAATCATGAGCACTCAGCAAACAGAGCTAATAGTTCATCTAATAAATTCAACAATGTATATGGAAGTTAAGAAAGAAATAAATTTGATTTTGAAGATATAGATGGAGAAATGAAGCATGCCAAAAATGTAAAGAGAATGTAAAGTGAAGCTGCATTTGGCACCAATGATGATAAAGCCTAACTCAGACTCAAGAAAAACCCTAACTTTGGAAATCAATAATAGCAAACAGCTTAGAATTATGGATCTTCTGATGACGATATCCCAGTAGGGTTCTCGAGAAGAAAGAGATTGTCTTCAAACTCATCTTTTTAGAAGAAATTTGAGAGCAATATTGCAAATGCTCCAAACATTGTAAATCTTTCAAGAAAGGAAGATAACTTTGTAAGATCTTAGAGAGGAGACACTTAATACCAAGAATCTAACATAGATGAATTAAATAGATAAATCAAGATAGCTAAAGAACAAGAAGAAGAAAGAATTCACTAGTAGACTGAGGCGCTTTTAGAATAAAAGCGAGAGTAAATACAGTAGAACTTCAGAGAACACTAGGAAAATACTAGAGTTGAAAAGGAACTTCAAAAGGAAAGAGATCATAGGAGAAGCCATCACAAAAAGGAGGCCCATTATAATGATGGTGATCATGAATAGCACAGAAACACTTAGAAGTAAGACATCTACGCTTAGAACCCTCACATTTAGTTTCCGTATATTTCTTACGATATGATGTAAAAAGGAAACCCATTAATGGCGCCAGCTTTTTAAAACCCAATGTATTCAAACTAGATGTAGAATTCTCAAATGTACTACCCTTCAATGATTAGTCAACAGTATTTAGGATCATAGACAACACTTCTTGGCTAAAACTATTTCCCACCATAAACTGTGCCTAATTTACCTCAATATACTAATCTTGATATTCCTGCTCATCTTGACTAGAATCTAAAATCTTTAAAAGAAACACTTTAGAAACTAAAAGGCGATAATATGAATTTGAAATAGGAGCTAAATAAGAAATAACTGCTTAGCATTGATCTTGAAAATAATGCTGTTAGTAACTTTGATAAAGAGAAATATCAATAGCACGCTTAAAATAATTTAAAACTTAAATAATCAGTCGAGGACTTAAAACGTAAGGAAATCGAGCTTAAGTCAAGACTTAGCACACTCCAAGCGAATAAGCAGTATCTCAATGGTAGAACAAATACCTTGAGCATGGATATAGATATTTAAGACAAGTAAGAAGAAGCTTTGAATAAACAAATTGTTGAATTCAATGGATTAATCAGAGAAAAAGAAAATTACATTAAATAGTTAATGAATGAACTTAATCAACTCAAAGAAAGCAAAGAGTAGTTTCAGAGTGAGCTTGGTGTATTAAATCACAAAGAAGAATTTATGGTTAATGAACTGATATTTAAAGAGGATTAGTTGAATGAGATAATGATGTCTAATGAGGATATGAGAAGAAAGATATAGTCAGGTTAGAGTCAATCTAAGTATCTTCTATCAGAAAATGAAAGACTTAAGAAAGAACTCAGCCAGCTGAAAGAGGAGTCTGCAGTACTGAAAGCATCCTCTGACTTCTTAAATAATGAATATTTAGGATTGAACGAGCATATCCAAGGCTATGAGCACAAACTAATTCTCAGTTAAAATACCATTGAGCAATTGCAGAGATAGAATTAGCAGGAAAAATCTGAGTTAGCTCATTACAATGCAACAATATCTAGTCAATAGAAAGCTTATGAAGAACTTAAAAATTAGCTTCAAATAATCAATGAAAGAAATTCTAGAATAAGTCTTCAGAATGAAATGATGATGCTAAGACAACAGTAGAATCAAGAGTAGTTGATGCTTCAAATGTCACAATCATAGGCTATGCAAAGAATTCAATAAGAAGAAATAAAAAGTAATCCTTTTCCAATGGTAAATGAGCAATCTATGATAGAAGAGACAATTCCATTTGAAGATAAGTTAGACACTGAAAAATAGGTTATTAGAGAAAGCGTAAATAACAGAAGAAATACACACGCAAATGAATTAAGCTAAAGACTAAGTTCACCATATTAAGATATTTAAAGAAGAGCAAGGGAAGGAGAAGGGATGAGTGGAACTATGAAGTGGGAGAATGAGAATAACAACTTGAGATAATCAGTAACAGCTAAACCAAATAGCAGATTAACTGAGGCAAGACTAGATTAATCAGTAAATTTCAGTCCTGAAGTTAAATAGTAGCTAAGAAATTAAGGTTAAACAATGGCAGGATTGCTTAGCCATGAAAATGATGCTGAAAAATCGTTTACTCAAAGACATTCTATGCCTGTTAATATGTCTAGTAGATTTAAAAGAGATGCAATGCAGAGTCCAGGTTAAGAAGAAAGATCAAAAAGTGGAAGAAGAGCTGATTAAATGAATTCAATACTTAAATGGTCCTAAAACGAGGAGGAGTTCAAAGGACAACCCAGAAAGACATATAATGATTAATAGCAGATAATTCAAGAGCATAGAGATGTCAGATCTATCTCAGGAGACAGAAAATAGAAAGAGGGTTAATAGATGGCTGGATTGATGTCCTGGGAAGTGCAAGATACAGATTTGAAGAAAAACTAAACTCGAAGATCAACTGCAACTGCTAATTTGAATTAAGCCAGTTCAAAATAGATTAAAGTTCATGAAATAGACCTTGGCAGGAATTCATCGCCTAATGAGATAAGAAACTAAATCAGAGATAAGCACTACGGTTCCAGTATGGCTAATCTAATTGCATTTGAAAACCCAGAATAATCACAAATAAATCAACTTCAGAAATCTAAGACTGAAAGAGCCCAATAGCGAAATAGTTAGGTTAATCTTAACTCATAGCAAATGAAAATGAATGCTGTTAAGAAAGTTGGAATAGATTTAAGCAAAGTAGAGGCCAAGCAAACAACCATTACTATGAGCCCAAATAATCAAAGTGATTTAAAGATTAAGAATTATGGAAATATGAATGAAAAAAGCCATTAGCAATAGGTTTCAAGAAAAGAAAATCTAGACAAAATGCTTCTGCAAATGCAAATTGAAAAAGAAAAAATGACTAATGAAATAGCGAAGATTGGTGATTTTCCAAAGACAACTTAGTAGATGAGAAGAAAAGAAGAACTAAGCAATGAAGTTTACATTCTTAATAGCAATATCTCAAATATTAAGAACAAGATTAAAACGCTCAAGCCTCAATGATACTGATTTCTCCAATCCCTTAAGCTAATTTTTATTCAAGCTATTTACTCATTCTAATTAAAACTTAAAACGAAGTAAATAGATATATATAATAATTAATATTAATTTCAAATTAAACATGCTACAGACTATTATTGTAGCTTTGATACTCTATGTTGGAATGTGTCAAAGTCAAGATTAATCTGAGTTATTAATGGTGTTTCAAGTAACAAGACATGGTGCAAGAAATGGACTCCATAAGGAATACTTTAAATCTGATTGGGTAAGAGGAGAGTTAACCAATATGGGACGAAGGCAACATTATCTAATTGGCAAGTAGTTAAGAAAAAAATACATCAGTGACTCCCCTGGGTTCTTAAGTGATAAATATAATCCAAATGAAGTTTATGTGAGAGCAACTGACATCAATAGAACAATTGAGAGTGCCTAATCTTAACTGCTGGGATTGTATCCCCCTGGTGATGAATAATTAAACCTGATGAATAACTAAACATAAATTGCTGTACCATTATTCCAGGTATCAAGTGACATTGAAAATGATGTTACGAAGAATCTGGGCTAAAATTCGATACCTTTTAATTAAAGATTTGTGCCTGTCCATGTTTACGAGATGCCATTAGATAAATTTTAACCATCTGATTATTGTTAATACATAAATCAAGAAAAATCTAGAAGAGAGACTTCTAAAGAGCTATAAGATCTATTGCAGAGAGACCATGCAGATTTGATCCAAGAATTAGCTCCTAAATTAGGTATAACAGACCTTCAAAGTTTTACAAGTCTTAATGCTGTTGATTCAGTCGACAGTATTTATGCTCGATACTTTAACTAAACTCCTATTACCGGATTTGAAGAATAAGCATTCATGGATTAAATGATGGATCTTTTGGATTAACAGTTTTCTTATATTCTCACTGGTAATGAGACAGCTTTAAAACTTTTTGTTACTGGAGTTCTCTCAGAGGTAGTAGGATAATTTAGGAAGCAGATCCAAATTGATTAAGACCCCTCTTTGAAGAATAAAGAGAGGCTTAAGCTTTTCTTTTACTCTGATCATGATGATTCAATTGCTGCACTTGTAAAGACCTTTCAATACAGTTTAGGAAAGTATCCAAGCTATGCAAGTTAGATATTATTTGAACTAAGAAAGCAAGCATAAAGCTAGGATTACTTTGTCAACTTAATAATTAACGATGTAAAGGTTAAAATTCCTAATAATTGTGAGAGTAAAGATAGCTGTAACTTTGACAAATTTGTCGAGTATATTAAATCAGTCTCTTACTATACTAAATATTAGGAATATTTCCAACTATGCGGAATTTAAGTTCAAATCAAAATGAATGAGAAACTTAATATAAAACCTCATTCACTTCATTCATTTTCTAGCAGATACATCCAGTTAAATGAATTTGATTTCAAGTAAGTAGAACTAGCTATGAAAGTTGTAGCTTCTTATATTGCTATACTCGCTGCATCATTGATTGTCTGGGCTTTGATAAACAGAAAGAAGTCTTAAAAGTAAGCTATTTAATATAACATCTAGAATGATATAGTGGAATCAGACACCCCTCATAGCAAAAATAGTATTGACATCCAAATCTCATGATTAATCTTTATTATGACTATCTTAATTTCATAATCTTTTAATAGTAACTTAATCAGTAATTAAGGGGTTTTGGGGTTTTGGGGTTTTGGGG